ATACATCGTGACACGGCTCCAGCCCCAGCTGCGCCGGCTCCAGGCTGGGCGGCATGCGGGCAGAGTGAGGCAGGGGGCCGCACCTCCGGACGGCTCCAGCCCCAGCTGCGGCGCCTGCTAACCATACAGTGTAGCGTTCTAAACTCCAGAGGGGAGCGCCGGCAGGCTCTGGCTCCTCCGGGACGGGCTCCAACCCCAGCTGCGCGGGCTCCAGGCTGGGCGAGGGGAAGCTTCCGCGTGCGGGCAGGGCGAGGCAGGGTCCGGCGCCTCCGGGCGGCTCAAGCCCCAGCTGCGCCGGCTCCAGGCTGGGCGAGGGAAAGCTTCCGCGTGCGGGCAGGGCGAGGCAGGGTCCGGCGCCTCCGGGCGGCTCTAGCCCCAGCTGCGCCGCCTGCTAAGTATGCAGTGTAGCGTTCTTTACTCGCTCGAACCCAAAAAATAGCTCAAGCAGAAATGCAACGGTAACGTCATACTGTTATAGATTGAGAGTCTCACGCCAAGCACAACTCAGTAGCATGTATCGCTGCAGAATGCAAAAAGCAGCTCATCAAACTGCAGCATAGTTCGATCGTAGCGCCTCAGAATGCAACATACGGCTCAGCGGTTTGCAGCATAACAAAAGCACCGGGGAGTGAACGGCAGACGGTAATGTATAAATTGTCGCCAAATGCCTTCGCTAAAAATTCACAGACGAAGTTCTGAATCCGCCAGGTTCCTTTCTTGCTCAATGAACTCTGTCGATATCAGTAATGTCTTTAAGCGCTCTACATCACTCGACAGTTGCTTCAACTTCGAAAGGTCCTCTCGCGACACCTGCAGTACCGCTACCATGACCTTCAGTCGCCACGAAATCGCGTCTATCGAATCGCTTATCTGTGATCGGACGTAAGCCCCGTGCATTCCATTCTGTCCGCATTCTCCACGCCCGTTGGTGTCAAGCGAATCGCTTGCTCCGAATCCCTCCCGTCCACGACCAACGTCGAGCAGCTCGCTTGCCCCAAGGTCATCATCCGCGGCCACGTCGTGGAGAAATTCTCCGGAGACCATGCTTCCACCGGTCGACAAATCTGGCTCGTCGTCCCCAACCTCCTCCATCGATTCGTCGCCCCTGTCTTGGCCTCCAGCTTCGCCTGACTCTGCAACTCCCTCGCTCCCCTCCGCCCCCGCCACTCCCTGGTCTCCGTCTCCCTCTTCTCCTCTTCCGTCCGTCACTCCCTCGTCCCCATCTTCAGCCGCGATTCCCCGATACTCCACGTCACGCGCCATCGGTGGCGGTAGATTTTCAAGCTCGACGTCTTCTCGCGGGTTGCTCACGAGTCTCCCAGCCCCGTGTCCTCCTATTTTCAGTTCGTCGCGGTCGTCTAGAATTGGCAAGGTCTTAGAGCGTAAAAACTCTCGGGCAGCCTGCTTGCTGTCCAACATCAGTTCCGGACCCCCCGGATTCTTGACCTTGTACGCTCGGCCCCATGTGTATTCCGGTCCCTTCCTCTTCAGGATCATGACCTTGAGCCACCCGCTCCTCCGGGCTCTCTGATCGGAAGGAGCGCTTTTGAAAACGTTCCATCTGTGCTGTTCGGGAAAGCGTTTCAGCTCGGGATACTTCCGCAACTCCGCATCGTGATTCTTCGCCGGCCTCCCCATCGCGCGCACCTGCCAAAAAAAGAGGGGGAGCGTTTCAATCACCTGGTCTATATGCTCAAAATTTCAGTCGCATCCTGGTCAAGCACCGGGTTCTTGTGATTGTAAAATCAGACCCGTTTGAGTACTGTGGAGAGGTGTGCCTTTTTACTCTAGATAGCCTGTAATACGGCCTTTCAAACAACTTTCAGCATCCCCTTCCCGATTCTTGCAAGTACTCTTCGGGAAGATCAGATCCTTCCTAACCCTCAATTTCAAAACATGCACCGCTTATGAAATACGCTCCAAGTTTAATACCAACGGTTTTAGGGTTACAAAGAAACAACGATATCCAACAAAATAAAGCAGTATCTCTGTACACACAACAGCAACAGATTCTGGGAGGGATACTTCTTACCCAGCACTTTGCTTATGCACTTGCTTCTTTTAGCTGGAAGCTAACCCTCAAACCCTAAAGCCAGTTGTGGTCAAAATTTCCCCTCTTCTCAATCTCTTTCAAAACATGCCTCCTTATCCTTATCCTTATCCTGAGCCCACGAGCATCTGAGCTGTCATGCGTTCCGGTTCAACATATTTTGAGCGCATGACTATGTGCTGGGCAACTCGAGAAAATGGAAAAGGAGATAGTGCGCCCTGTATGTAAGCTTGGTCCGGTAGCTATGTGCTGGGCACTCAAAGAAAATAGACGAGGGGACACTGCGTCCATGTGCAGGCTGTCGGGTATCTATGTGGTGGGCACTCGAAATAATGAGTCCGGGAGCAATGTAGGCACCAGGAGAAAATGGAAGAAGGGGACAAAGCACCCTGTCTGCCCCGCAGTCAGGTGGCTTGCTTGGCTATGTTCAATGAAATTGTGCCACGAGTTATTTTCACGTGATAGGACGGTTTTACTCTTACACTCTGTCGAGAGTACAGTTCGCCCGAAAGTGCAGACGCGCCGCAAATCCGGACTATCCGACCGCATGCCAAATGGCAAGTCAGAATTTATTATCTGTGTACGGAACTTTAGTAGGCGTCATAATTACGTCAGCAGCAGGTTCGAAAAGCGGACGCGGGAACTTGGTGTCAAATATACCATGGCATTCGTAGCTCGATTACACCAGTTCGTGACATGTGCAGTCGGCCGGGAGTTTCGACACCACTTCTGATCCAGTTGCGCAGCACAGTGAGTCAGCGATCATTGCGCAACATCGAACTGATCGCTTGGATTGCAGTAAGCACCGAGTCGCAAGTCGCAAGTAAATACCTCGGGCACGGGTGCGGCTGCACTGAGTCGTAGTCATACTATACTTTCGACCCCTCCAGAGTCTACGACCGCCTGCCTTTTAGCCCAATTGCTTTTTCTCCCCAGCTCATTTCCCAAAGACAGGTCCAGGCGCACCCCCTCCGGCTCCCTCTCATTCCTTCCAGTCTCAGCCTCTGTTCTCCAGCTCGTCTGCCACAACCCCAGAGAGCGCCGAATTTCAGCTCCGCACCACCATCGCCGCTCCCTCTTGCAACTTGGCGCCATAGCCCGAAGGCCGATGTTATCGTTTGAGCCACCGCGCCAGGAGAGCAAGAGGTGAGGGTGACCCATGCAATTGCTTTCATTTGTTTACCAATCCACCGCGCCCTGAGACCAAGAGGTGAGGTTAATCCCTACAGATGCTTTCACCTCTTACCAATCGGATCGGACGGTCTGAAAGATGGTGGTGGCAATCTGGTGTTGTGTTCGGTGCACTCGTCGTAAACCCTCTGTCGTTAAAGTCCGGTGGTCCTTACTTTGAAAACTTGATCTGCCGCAGGGAGGAGAGCCAAGGGCGCAGGAAGCGCCAAAGGCACCATGATAAGAAAGCTCACAGGTGAAGCTCATCTCTGATGTACTCTGTCGGGATTGCACTTGCACTTCACAGGAAGTTCTGGTGTGCTGAGCAGGCTGATTACCATGCCTCATCTCAGGTTGTTGGACGAATAAATGGGTTCCGACTCGGTCACAAGGCCGGTCACCGTCTGAGCCTGGTCATATTGGACACAGAACCAGCTAGTAAGCAGCCCTGTTTGAGGGCTAAAAAGCCTTGTGCTTTGAGATATGTATTCGGAACATCTCAATGCTCAGCTCTTACTCTTTCCATTTGGGTATCTTTCTGGCCCAGCGGAACAAGCCGAGGGGGAAATGGAAGCGTCTCAGTAAGCAGGGAGAGTTTTGAAACGGCAGGTAATTGGGCGTCGATGAGAGCCGCTGACAAACAGGATGAAGAAAGCCGGAAGCAATACATCGAGCAAGCGATCCTCGCCAAACTAAAGCAGCTTGAGGAGGAAAACGAACGCTTAAAAGCGCGTTATGAAGACAGCGCCGATGCGCTCAGGGCCATATTCGATAGGCTGGCACAGATAGATGGCATCCAATCGGGCGGCCACCTGCGTGCTCGCATAGATCATCATTTTAGCGAGGGTGGTCTACCGATGCACCTTCGTCAGGCGTCCGAGGGTGAGTGTGACATTCGCACGGTCCGGTAACAGGCGAGCTCAATGATAGCGTTGTTCGTCGAGCTACATTGCCTATGATGCCATTCTTTCATGCGGTGTCAGGATGGGGGCATGTTGCTGTCGTGACACCACGTACATGGGCGAGCAAATGTGGTTCGCATCTGAATGCGTTTCGTTTCAACCAGGTGCTCAAGTTTATACCGCTACACATCCGACGACCCCCGCCTTCAACAACTCGACCGAAAGCGGTAAGTTTCATTCGAAAGATTCGGTTCACGATCCTTTGCCAGATTCGTGGAACATATTGCGTCCGAAATATCACTCTGGTTGTAGAAACAGCTCATCGACCAAAGTAGCAAGGCCGCGGCGACTGAACTTACTTCTGATTGGTGGTTTGCAGGTTGTGATGGGCTTTTAGATGCCCTTTTCTCGGAAGTACCTATCGAGGGGTTTAACACCAATTCGCAGACGAATTACCAAGCGATACACCCGATCCTGCAAAGTGCGTCCCCCGAATCAGCTGGTGAGCAACGCACCCTCTCTGACGTTGACCCGGACACGAGCTCGCCTGATGCGAATCTTACTTCTCGGGCTTCCGAATCGCATCAGAAGAGCTCGTCGATCCAAGCAGCAATGCTACGATAACCAAACTCACTGATAATTGGGTGGTGTTCAGGTGGTGACGATGCTTCCTTTCTCCTGGGACTAGATATCGGGGAGCTTGACGTAAATTTGAAGACGGCGGACCACGAGGGTCGTCCCTCCACTTGTGAGCAACGCACCCTCTCTGACGTCGGCCCAGCACGAAGTCTCCTGATGCGAATCTTACTGTTCTCATACTCTTGATCCACATCAGGAGAGCAGCAAGATTGAACTCATCGATGATAAAGCACGATCGGGACGACCCAGACAGTGACTCGTCATCGCTCGTCGTGTGCAGCAGGCGCAAGTTTTGACTGAGTATGCCGCGAGTCTGCTTCGAGACGCGTAGACGCTTTGCAAGGTCGTTCGAGGTAATGAGACCAATAGGACAGACCAAGCACGCAGCATAGCTTAAAAAGGTCGTACGATGTATTTGACTAACTCGAAAGTGGTGGTATGGTGTCTGTTTGAGGTTCAGCTTTCGTTGATAAAAGGAACGGTAAGTGTCGAAGGTGATGATCTGGTGTCTGTCCGGGGTTCAGCTTTCGTTGGTCAAAGGAACGTTATAAATTTCGAAGGGGTGATGATCTGGGCCTTTCGGGCTTTGGTGTTTGTGGAACTGTCGTGAAGTCAAAGAGTGAGGTATAGGAGCTGGGCGTTCTGGATCACCTTGCGCTCTTTGACCTTAAGTTGCTGGCCGGAGCATTGCGTATGTTTACTGATTATAAACGCATCATAAAAACAACGAGTGGTTAGTTACCAATAACACGTTATCATAAAAATTGAACATAGACGTTATAAGAAAGAGATCAGATAATAGAACACTGTAGACTTTCAGTACACCCGGCCCATACGAAAGGGGGCTCACCCTTTCCTGATGCTTTTGCCGTGCTTCATGTTCGATGCATGCTGTCTGCGTCACGTCCATCCCTCACCGTCACACGACAGGTCATCGAACGGGATTCGTCCCTCGCTCTAACCTCGTATAGGCCTATTCATTGTCCGTCCGACTGAGCGCCCGGTACGGGTGACATTTTGGGCGCAAATGTTGATTTACACGGGGGGGTTGCGATTCCCTCCGGGGGCATATGCCGAGGGTTGGGGGTACGGGTGCATCGCAAAAGAGTCGAAACGATGTGCCCCGATCCAACGGCTTCCTTATATAGAACGACATGCCGACCCTGCGGCACTCCCGTTCATCCGACTCCATCGCATGTGCCGTCAGGGCTATGATGGGAATCCTGCCCGGGAGCACCCCTTCGCTCTCCGACTTTCTGATGCGCCGCGTCGCCTCGTATCCGTCCATGCGCGGCATCTGCAGGTCCATCAGAATAGCAGAGTACTCGCCGGGCCGCGCCTCGTACGCCTCTAGCAGCTCCAGACCATCTGCGGTCATGGTCGCCTCGGCACCTTCCTTGGTCAGAAGGCGTTCTATAAGCCTGCTTATCAGGCGAGTGTCCTCGGCGACCAGGACGTGCAGCCCCTTCAGCGGCACCGGCCCATCGATCGCGCCGACGACGACATCCTGCGCCCTGAAGGAGCCAGCGAGCACGAGTCGGACCCAAAAGTTAAAGGTCGTCCCGCCGGGGCCGCTGTCGGCGATCTCGATGTCTCCCCCCATCAGTCGGCACAGGGACCGAACTATACTCAGACCCAGGCCCGTCCCGCCGTGGACCATGCGGACGTTGTCCCCCTGCACGAACTCGCGAAACACGTCCTCCTCCATCCCGGAGGGTACGCCGCGCCCGGTGTCGCGGACGGAGATCTACACCCTCGAATCGTCCGGCCCCTCCGCACCCCGCCGTGCCACGACGCCGATCTCCCCGCTCTCCGTGAACTTGGCGGCGTTGCTCAGCAGGTTGTCCACGACCTGTCTCAGTTTGCGCCTGTCTCCGATCACGGCGTCGGACAGCCCGTCCCCATATTGCAGCCACGTCCGCACCCCTCGCGGATTCACGAGGGGGGCGATCCCCGCCAGCGCCTGCTCCAGCTCCGCCCGCAGATCGAAAGGCTGCGACTCCACGTTAGACTTCCCCGCCTCGTTCTTGGCCAGCATCAGGATGCCGTCCAGCAGGTGCAGCATGTCGGCCGACGTCCTCCTGAGCAGGCGAATATTCTCGTCGAACGCGCCGCCGACCTCGTCCTGCATCTCCTCCAGGACGCCCATCACGACGGCCATGGGGGTCCGCAGCTCGTGGCTGAGGGTGGCCAGCAGCTGCTGCTTCTTGCGATGCATGGCGGCGTCGTGATTGGCCGCGACGAGGTGGCCCTGCTCGCGCCTCCAGAGCCTCACGAAGCACGCGGCGATCACGCCCGCGAAGAGGACCCAGAGGACCACCGCGCTCGAGAAAGTCCCGATGGTGACGCGCCTATTGCTCTCCAGCTGCGCGAAGAAGCGGTCCCACGGCATCAGGACGACGACCGTGACGTCGAACATGCCTCTCAGCCTGCGCACCCCCGCCACGTACCGCCGCCCCCGCACCACTATGACCCTGCGGTGTTCGGTCCCGTCCGTGAGAGCGCTCCCGAGCTGCCCGGCGCTGCCCGAGACCAGCGGATCCGGGTTGTCCACTGCCGCCGCGAGCTGTCCCCCTCCTCCCGACACGCTGCTCGAGGCGACCAGCGTCGCGTTGGGCCCGCCCACGACGAAGACGACGTAATCCCCCGTCGCGTTCAACCCCTGCGTCAAGCGCCGCCGCACCGAGAGACCTCCGTTCACGGCTCCGAGCAGCACCCCAGACGGGCCGCTCACGGCGGTGCTGGCCGTCACGGTCGGTACGCCCAACACGCTGACGAAGCCGGAGAAGACGACCGCCCCGCGCTGCGCCACCGCACGGACGTACCAGGGCCGGTCCGTCAGAGGAGGAGTCGTCAGGTCGGCCGAGGGGTCCGGCACGGACGCACCCCAATCGTCCGTCACCAGATACGCAGCGAGCACCGTCGACCCCGCGGACGTCCTTCGATACTCGCGGTCGGCTCCTCCTTCCGCGGGCCGCACGAAGCTGACCGACAGGTTCGATTCGGCCTGGAAGCCGGCGCTCTCGAACACGGCGTTCCCCCTGAGGGTCCCCCACAGGACCGGACGGTTGGACTCGATCGCGGCCCAGGACTCGGCGCTGCCGTTCAGAGCCATGCCCACGGCCAGAGCGCAGCCGGCCACCGCGATCCTCACCTGGTCGAACGTGCGTTCCAGCTGGCGCTGTATGTTGGTCAAGACCTCGGACTCCAAAGACTCCGCCAACGGCGACGCCGCGCGGACGGCGGGAGACCAGGCGGCGCTGTAGATGAGGAACCCCAAGAAGCCGCCGAAGATGGCGGCCGTACCCGTCGCCACGAGCACGCGCCCCGGCAGCCTACCCATCCGTTCGTCCCCCTACACTCGCCGCACATTTTCGTCCGCCGGGCTCGTGGCAGCAGCAAAGACTCGACTCGAGTCCCATCCGAAGACGGCTCCTGAGAGGGATCCCCCAAGATCCGTCCAAGGCCGCTATGGACGTCTCACGTGACGGCTCTCTTAGGAGGTCATGAGGGTCGTGGCACCCGGTAGTGGAATCTCGGATCGATCTCAGAAGACATCTGTTTTTGGAGGAGATGATGGAGAGTGCCACCGCTAGCGAATTCCCATGCTGCTCATCCGCGTCCGTGCAGATGTTGATACTGCATGGGACTACAGATGTGCAACGATACATCAGAATACATCTTGCTAGCCTGTTGCACTGTCGGATGGAACCTAACACTTGCTTGTATCCATCCCTTTTTTTAGCAATAGAGCCTAGCATGTAGAGCTCGAGATGATGACCAGAGCACAGGCCCTACTCTTGCTCACTCTTAAGCTCAGTGTCAGGTAGGATCATCAGGGTGCATAACAGCTGCTCAGTCCAGGTGTCATGGGGCTTCCATGGGACGCGCGGGATGCTCGTCGCGTCCTCCACGAGGAGCCTCATGCCTGGGGAGACCTCCTCACCAGTCATCCTGTGGCACGGTTCGGGTGGCCGCTTCTGGAACAACTCGACGCAGATGCACGCCAACACGGTTGCCGAGTTCTTCATAGATGACACCAACGCCGACTACTACGGAGTGAACATCGCTGGCGGGTACGACACCGGGCTGCGCATCAGCCCCTCCTCGAGGGAGTGCTCCCCGGTGCAGTGCTCGTTCGACATGTCGGAGTGCCCAGGGGACCTGGTTGAGTACGACGGTGGCCCGTACCTCAGCGCATGCAAGAAGTACCTCACGGCTGCATCTTGCTGCACATGGCCGCACAACACCCCGCAGTCCTGCCCAGCGAGCCGCGAGGCACTGTACTTCAAGGGCCTCTGCCCCCAAGCCTTCACGTACACCTTCGACGACCACGCATCCTTCCACACCTGCCGAGGGGCGCTCTCGTACACCGTCACGCTCTGCGCCTCTCCCGGCAGGTAGCGCAGGACTTGTCCCAGCCATCTCTATCACTGGTTGTGATCAGATCTCCAATGTGGGCGGGCTGTGGGGTCGGGTTGAGCGGAAGGACCAACAGCTGCAACTACAGCTTTCAATTCAACGCAGATTTTTGTCAACCTGGTGCGGTCGATGACGAAGCTCGGACAGCCTAGACGACTCGGACAGGGCCTGCCCGTGAGGGGCGAGACGCAGGAGCAGTCATACCTGCCATCACCTACAATGTAGGCTCGGCGTACGAAGGGCCCGCACCATCTGCCGTATCTGCCGATCGACGTCCAGCGCGGGATCTTCTCGAAAGTGCCGGATATCGAGCTCTTCATCAAGGGAGAGCTGCAGCTGCAACACTATCTGATCAAGCACGAAATGCTGAGAGAGCCGCAGCTGTGTCTGGCTTGGGCCGCACGACAGGGGCATGCCACGTTAGTGCATCTGCTCCTCGGGGCAGGAATAGAGCCATCTCCCCACACTCTGAAGTTGGCCGGGATGGGCGGCCACGCTTTCAAGGAGTTCTCGGGGTCCAACGGAGCTCTCCTCGAGTACTACCTGAACCGTGGCGAGTTCTGCGAGGCGGTGCGCTTCTACGACTTTGCGCACGACGTCCCCGACCGAACGTTCGAGAACACTCTCCGCAGACGGCTCTTTCGCCGAGACGAACCATTGAGAGACGAGGAGGTGTCCGCCCTCCTGCGATTATGGCCCGCGGCGAAACATTCTTTCGTTTACTGGGGGGCGGACAGGGGTCTACCCAGGTTGCTGCAGACGGGGCTCGATGCCGGAGGGCATGCGGACAATTCGGGCGGCGTAATATGGAATGCCCTGGAAGAAGGCCACGCCGATTGCGCCGAGATCCTCGTCCAGTCCGGCGCCGAGGAGATAACGTTCGAATCTTACAAAGGACCACGCGCCTTTAGAAACATGTGCAAGAATGTGCACGTCGAGGCTCTTCGATTAGCACTTCGGTACGTGCAACCGTCCCAAAACGAACTGGACGACGCCTTGGAAGATGCCGCAGACGCCGGGCGCACGGGGGTGGTCGATGTCCTGCTCCAGCACGGTGGAAATCCTCGAGAAGCGGCGATCTTTGCCGCCGCGAGTGGAGGGCACTTAGGAACGTATCGCACGCTCGTGGCAGCAGCACTCCACCGAGCTCGGAACCCTACAATGTAGGCTCGCGTACAAGAGGGAGGAGAATTCCTCCGAGCGTCTGATAATTCGGGATGGATCACGGACCGCTCCGGGAGTTCGTGTCGGCGCGCTGCGACGTCGGTCGGGCGGTGTTCGTGCCGCGCCGCAAATTCAGGGAGGCGTTCACGGTCTGGCAAGGAGGGAGAGCGGCTCCCAAGGGCCTACCCGAGGCGATGGACGCGCTGGGCTACAAGCGATCCACGCGACCATACGGGCCGGACCGGAAGAACACGGGCGTCTACCTCCACCTCACCCTGCCCACAGGGCACGCATCGTACCTAGCGCCCCTTGCGTCGATCTCTGAGGTTAACGTACCCGAGGACGACTTACAGCTGGAGGGTCTGCTATCTGATGATGCACCCCGAGGTGCGAGCGACTCGTCCTGGGCGGGGATTTCGTCGGCCATCGGATCAGGCGGACGGACGATACGCCCCCGAGAGTCAGCATCTTCGACATGATCGCTGCAGTGAGCGGCGCGGCGAATCCACGCAAGACTTGGCACGACTTGAAGAAACTTATATTGGATGAGAAGCTGGAGTATTCTCATCACAAATTCGCGGGCCAGGGACAAACCGAGACACCGGTCACGGACGCGAGGGGCGCCGTGAAGATCATCAACTTTCTGCCCGGGCCGCAGGCGGCGAGGTTCAGAGACGTCTGCGGGGACATAGTGGTCCGATTCCTAGAAGGGGACGCGAGTCTCGTCGAAGAGATCCGGGAGGAATTCGGTGAGGAATCCCTTCGACACGACGCTGAACTTCAGCGCGTTGCCCTTGCATCACAAGAAGCGCGACGGCCTCTCAGCGGCCTGGAAGCGGCTCATGTCTACCTCTCGAGGGTCGTCTTCGAACTTCCAGATGAAGCCGTCGCGCAGGGGTGAGGTCAGAGGCGGCCAGAGCCACGATCGCGGCGGGTATGCCCGTGGGAATGAGAGCGAACTCCGTATTTATAGTCATGTGGTTGAGAAGTATACAGTGAAGAGTTCATCCGGAACCATTCGTTGGTATGTATGATCATACAAGGTTCCACGCACGATCAACATAGCATTTGAACATGGAACTTGGCAACTTGTATGATCATGCACGGTAGCAACACGTATTTTCAAATGCCAACGTTCTTATCTATCTCGCAGGTAACATCAACTCCGTGTTTGCCACAAACTCGCTTTGCTCTACTCAATAGCTCCTCGTCATCACTCGGCATTATAAGATGGATCCGTTTCCTGTGCTGAGGAAATGACTCTGCGTATCCCAGCACTTGCCCTAATGCATGCAGGTAGTATTTGCTTTGCTTTACTTCTATGATGCTACTCGCTGTGAGCACGTCGACCCTCCCATAATCGCACAATACCTCCACCTGGCCGTTCTCCACCTCGGCCAGTCTGTCTCGAACGTCTGCCTCGATTGTACCGTTGCCCCTTTGGGGTTTGAGATTCGCCAACGCAATCCGGTAGTCCCGATCGATGCCGGGAAGCCGCCGGCGGGCATGCTCGAGCCATATCGACACCTTCACTTCGAAATCCGTGCTGATCCACACGGCCAAGTTTGTCGCAACCATTGGATGAATCCATGTCACCCGTTTTGTTACAGGTCCCGTCTCGCAACGATTTACTAGGAAGGTTCTGGAGCATCCCAGGGTATTGGCCAATTGTACCATGAACTCTTCAGTAGATTGAAGTCGCATATAGTCGCTCATGTTTTTGCCCGCAGACTGGCACATCTTCGTGGCGGAGACGTAGCCGTCGCTCAGACGCATTTCCGTGATCATCCGCCCGTCGTCGCCCCGCAGAGCGTCCACGAAGTCCCTGGCGTACTCGACCTCGTCCGCCGTGGGAGCAGCGACGGTTTGCTGTTCGGCGGCCTGGAAGCGGCTCATGTCCACCTCTCGAGGGTCGTCTTCGAACTTCCAGATGAAGCCATCACGTAGGGCCAGGTTGGAGGCGGCCAGAGCCACGCTCGCGGCGGGTATGCGCGTGGCATCGGAGGCGGCGCGCTTGCTGTGATACCGGGTCACGGCGCCGGTCGCCGAGATGGCGACGATGGGCCGCGAAGGGGGCGCCATCCTCGCGTCCGTGGAAACGAGAGATGCGATGATACAAATCGCGTTTTATACACAGCGAGTCCGGAATATACGGCGTAGGGTCCCTGTGTGATGACCAGTATTCTAGGTGACCTGACGAAGTAACTTATTGCTGCGGGGTGATCAGCTTAAGGCTCACGGTGACACTATGCTGCACGTGTCGTTGACGTAGAAGCGTCGTTCGATATACGTGGCCTGGAGATTTGGCAGAGAATGTGTTCCAACTGCATGTATTTTTAACGCAGCATGGCGTACGGTCGACGGTCGGTGCATGGACAGATGGATGATCTCAGATCTCCAAAGCAAACAATACAAAGTACACGAAACACATGTCAACGTAAGTACGTCTGCTCTGTATTTACACGATTTTTCCTCTGCATTCTCACATTCTGCTAACTGCCTCCTCGAGTAGTAGCTCGCTTCCGCTTCAGTCCTTGTAGCCATCATAATAGATGTGCTCCACCGTAATCTCTCGGTCGGGCACGTGTGTCAGATGGTATCGTAGACGCTCCATGTATGCGCCCATCCGCCTGTCCCACGTCGACTGATCTCGGATGACCGGCACTCCATATTTGTTGTACTTGAAGCAGCTCGGGTGACGTACGCCGTTTTCTGTCGTGAAGCCGTCTGGGTTGAACCTCAACTGGACCTGGGGACGGTTGCCCGCGTCCCGGAAGAGCTCCATCAGCCGCTTGTTCTCGCACGTATAGTTGCGGTGCTGGTCCTCATCGTTTTCGCAGTGCACCGTATGAGTGTACAGATCCACGAAGATGTCCGGCTTCCGCCCCGAGCACCCCCCTTGAAGCCTCTTGTCGAAGGTGACCTGAGAGTGGTTCGGGAGGATGCCTGCGGCCTTGATGTGGTCCGTAAAGTGCTGCTCCTTGACTCGGTAGTTGCGAGAGACCTTCTCGCCCGGGAAAAGGTACATGAAGCACCTCAAGCAGTATCCTTTGTAATGCGTAGAATGTGCCCTCGTACCACACCCATTTTTGCACATTGTATTCACCACGTCGATCATGCCGTCGGTCTTGCAGGCGGCGCAGCGGGTCGGCTTCTCGCCCACCAGCCCGAATCTAGGCTGCGACCTCTTGCACATGCACTTCCTATG